CATTTATCGAGTAACCGACGAATTCCTTCTCTAATAAAATAAGGCAGTTTTTCGATTCGATAAAGTCGTCGAGGCTTTGTGAAAAAAGCCACCGAACGAATGTATACCCCTAATATATTCTTTTTTCTATCCCTGTTTTAATTACCCTTATATTTTACAACTAAACAGTGTCAACTCTCACATTTCCACGAACACTGTTGATTAATAAAAATATATCCAGGTACAGGACGATTTTGGAAAAAGCAAATTATACAGGGAATAAACAGATACATTTTATTAAAGGGAAACGATATGAACGGGTACGAAATGAAACGGCATCGGGAACGAATTAAAACGATCACGAAACCACAAAATAAATAGGAAAAATCGAGGATCACGATCGAACGTACGTACGTATTTTCCAGCGAAATTCTCGTTGCAGGCATTGTCGACGAAGCCGTTCGATAGAATGACTATTCTTGTTCGTTTGTCTCTGGAAAGGCACGAGGAGCCGAAGGCACGATTAAAACGAAATTTTCCCGTTCGCAGAGCTGGTTCGTTCGCAAAAAGGATCATAAAGACTCGCCTGCAATTTAACCTTAGCGATCCGGAGGAATAAAAGTACATAACGATCCCGACGTTCTTCAGGGATGTGGGATTTTTTCGCGGTGTTTGATCAACGTCCAATATAGTCGGCCTGAAATTAAGTTACATTTTACAGGCCACCGTTGTGTGTGTGTACATATGTATATATATACCTATTTTATCGCATCCTCTCCAATTTGCTTTTTCGCCTCCGTACAAAGGGTATAATCGTAGATTCAATTAGCCCGAATTAGATCGTTCGATGCTCATTCGATGAGCGGGATCGTAATTTCCGCGGGGGGGAAGCTCGAAACGAACCGGTGTTGCGCTCGACATTTTCCGCTAAAAGTTTACGTATTTTTATCTGGATCGTATTTCGTTAAAACTTACCCCTTGTAAAAGTATAGGAATTATTTCCGGCGATTGGGTTTTATCGGCGTTTTATTTGATTTAAGAGGGAAAAAGGAGGAAAGGAAAATGATATTGTATCATTTCTTCTCTTGATTTCGGCTAAGCGCTTGCAATAGAATACCAAGAGTATAATAAAGTTTTTCAATTTCTCAAATGAATTTATTAATCTTGAATAATTTCTTTTAAATAGATATTTAAATGTCGAATATTAATTTGAATAAATTCATTTCAATGTCACGTCCGAATTATTATTTTTTTTGAACTTACAAGCATACAGATGATGTAGGCAGAATTGCATATTTAAATGTCTTGACAAAATATGAATTTAAATATTTGATAAAATATTCAAATGTCTTGACAAAATATGAATTTCAATATTTGATAAAATATTCATTTCAATATCACCTTCGAATTATTATTTTTTTAAACTTACAAATATTACGTATAGGTAGTGTAGGCAGAATATATCACAACTGGAAGTCGGTTTTAAATGAGAGTACAAGCCGACAGGGTAAAAGGAAATTAAATTAAGTTGTAGGAATTCAGAAACGTAGAAAGAAACATGTTTCTTTGAATTACGTGGCAAAAGGGGATTTTCACTAAAAGCTCGATATTTTTCCCGAGAATCCTGAAATATGTTTCTGTTATTGTTACATTCTCGATGTTATCTCTTGCTTTATACTTGCTATACTTGCTTTCCGGAAATTCTCGTGCCAGCAGTATTGATATAGTTTAAAGTTTAACGCAATAATTCAACTTCCATATAAAAGAAGACACTATTGAAACTCTACTAAGAATCTCAACTTCAATATACATATTTTTATTCACTTCGTTTCGTTATATTTCGTCTTACATCGCGTCTCTATATCTTCGTTTACACTCGATGAAAAAAATTCTCCGTACATCTTATTCAAATTTATCTAGTCTTGCATAATTTCAACGGAATAGCTAATAAATAAATAAAATCGACGTTATTTCAAATTTAAATTATCTTTCTCTGCGCTAATTGGGAAGAACCTAAGTGACAGTATTTGTGAACTCGGGAAACAATATTTTGCAGTGCAAAGTAGAATAAGTAAATGAACAATAACATTTTTATTTTCTGTCACCTACGATTTCCCCTATAACCGTACCTAAACGACAAGAAGAAGACTCATATCAGCTTCTAACATTTAAAAAAAAATAAATACAAGTCTCCAAAAAAAAAATTGTAAATTGCGTTCCATAATCTGGGTCGCTATTAACCCAACTTTAATGCTTGACAAGTGAAATAAGTAAGTAAATAGAAAAATCGTTTTTCCGTGCGACGTACGCAGACTCGTTTGTATATCGAAAACCGGTAATTATCAGGACAATACTTTTGCCATCACAAAGCGACGTCTAGTATCTCTGAATTGCGCGAGCCAGACGAAAGATTCCGTTGTAACGACACAGGGGGGGAGGATAAGACGAATAGCCGTGCGTCTGGTTGATGTTTCCAGTTTAGGTCTCGCGAATAGAGAGGGGTAAGGGGAAAGTTTCGTTTCGTAGCCAGGCAGGGAAAACTATCCACGGATTGGAAACGAGAAATTCGCGAGGTTGGCCTGTTTCCAACTTCCCTCCTCCCACCCCCCGTTAGACAGGCCACTCTCGCGACTATACGTAAGTACTTACGGGGGTTTTGTTTTATGCCTGGCATTTTGCGTCGTCGCGTTTAAACATATCTCGGAACGCGGACGGAGCTCTGCGCCTTCCGCTTCCTAGGACTTCTATCTGGGCGCACACGCGTTATTTTAATTCCAGACGCCCTCGCGGCTGCGTATTTTCGGAGGCGGATGCATGATTCACTCTGCTATGGTACAATAGTCTTTCCTCACGCAGCGGAATGCTTCAGACTGACCAGAATTTCTGTAGACAAATTTTGTAGATTTTTCTTTGAAAGAAAAATAGATATTTGGTGAGTTTGTACTTAACGAATTAGAAAAAATTAACGAATGCTTTAAACTGACCAGAATTTCTCACAACAAATTTAGTAGATTTTTATTAAAAGGAGAAAAGAAAGAAATTTGTTATATTTGGTAGCTGTGACAAAACGAAATTACATTTTAACACGTTGACTGCCAAGCCTATTTTGAAGAAATCTGTTCTAGACGCCAACATTTTTTTTTCAATTTATTGTATAGAATTAAACAAACACATATTAATTTTTATATTACGACTTTAATTTTAATTGTTTTTTTTTTTTTTTGCAAAAAAATGCTTTCGAATTATCACGTGGTCGAGCGTCTCCGAATAGGATGTAACTTCTACCAGCAGACTGCCAACTACGAGTTATCTCGTAGCTTGGCAGTCAACGTGTTAATTGAATTATCTTATTTCACGTATTAGAAAAAGTAAACGAATGAAATTCTCTACATTTTTATATTTAACCCTTTGCAATCGAGTGGCGACTGAGAAGCGACATTAAGTAATCGTCACTTGGCAAATAATTGATCAAAGCAGAGAGCAGATCTATGGGATCTCTATAAATTTGATTGCCACAGTGAAATAGAGAATACGTTGAATATTTAAATAAAAATAGTACGGTTTGAAAAAAGATCCGATTTGCAAACTTTCCTATAGCAAAGTCACCTCCGAGTGCAAAGGGTTAAGTACCTGATACTTAAGCAATGGTTACACATTTTATGGAACGCGAGTGTTAAAAGGGAGTGCAAAGTGAAATTAGGATAGTGTAATGAAATGCATTCGAATAATGCGGTGAACGGTTATTTTACTACTATCTTTACTATACAATTTTACATCGATAAATTTAGTTTATTTGAAATTAATTTATCAATTTTTCGTATTTTAGACAAAATTGACGTCTCATTTTCCAATCCTCCATTTTCTGTAACTATTGATACTCGGATCTCGTAAATTATCTTTATTGTATCATACTATCGACATTTTGATTTTCTGTCTAAAAACGTTCGTTCGCTTTTAACATCCGCAGAAAATTGTAATCGCGAGGAGAAATGCGTAATAAAACGCATATCGTCAGATTCTGGTTCTAGCCGTCAGAAACGAGAGACAGTAAATTTTGATTCGCGCTTCTTCTTTTCTTTTTTCTTTTTTTTTGTCCTCGGTTGCACTATATCGTTCAATTTGGCAGCGTGTTCTATGACGCCCATATTTTTCAGTTTCCCCCTTTTACGCGACACGTGCTTCGGCATAAAGCCTTGCTGAAATAAGATCCTCTCAACGCTGCTTTTCCATCTTCGCGCCGAGCGTTTACGCATCGTTCGTGATTTTCATGGAACGCTTTTAATTGGATTATCTCTGTGTTCTGATAAAAAAAAACGCCACGGCACAGCTAAACAAAACTACACGCCGCGCAGCATCGACGAGGACAGAGTTTCGTGAAAACAAGAAATAAAGGAAATTCTTTACTGATTTCGTTGCAAATAATATCGCTTTTTTTCTTAAAAGAGTTTCACGTTAATATGCAAATCACTTGTCAAACGTTTCCGTTAAAATAAGCTTCTTTACTGTTACGTATTTTACATGTAATCGCGATTTATATGATGTTAAAAATTCTAAATTTCAAGTTTTTTCTTTAAATTTCAATTTTAGCCTAAAATATAAGACTAAAGTATAAAATCTGAGTTTTAACCCTTTCGCGACTAGCGCCGGTTATATCCGGCATCCACTAAGCGCGTCGCATTGGCTCCGCGCCTCAACAACTCAAAGTGAAGATTTATTTTAAAATGCAGAACAATGCCTCAACGACATTCCCTTTGTCCGATACACCCTTAAGTCCTCTGCTGTTCCAACGAAATCCTCTAAGATTTGAAAAAACGCGAGACACTCTTAATGTGTATGGCGTGCACTAATGGCACGACGACCCGTTCGTTAGCGGCGTAACGATGGCTAGTTCCGCCGTCGCGAAAGGGTTAAAAGATATTACCTCGATTAAGATTAATTCTAATTGTACTTCGAATGTCTGTTGCACCTTTGAGAATTCATTCTCTCCCCGTTTAGATGTGAAAATTCATTTTCTTTTACAGATCCGCCTATAGTGAGAATGAAGACAGAGAACGTGACCGTGAACGAGACCGAAAATTTCACAGTATTTTGCAACTACCAAGCTAATCCGGCCAGCCTAAAAAAAGTAACATGGTGAGTTCATTTCTGATTTATCAACACTATCGAACAGTTCTTCGAATTTTTCTCTTATTCCATTACCAAAAATTTCTGGTTCTTCAATTGGACAGTTCAAAGTTGTACGCGTTAAAGTTCCATACTATTAAGTCCCAGTTTGTAGCGCAATTCGTTCGAATCATCGAATCTCGCACTTTTCAGTAGTATTTCCTTAAAATTACACAAACGTGGATAGCACTTGCTTTGCACACAAATCGGATTCCGCACATTTATCGGTGTTTGTTGGGACACACGCACTGTATCGACTCCGTTACAAGTGAATTTGCAATTTACAAATCGATAACTGTAATTCATGAACACGAGCACGTTAAAATAGAGACGCTTGCAAACGTAACAAACATTCGCTGATGCAGAAGAAAATCTCAGGAAAACGATGGAACTTATCAACCTTTATTGTGGAAAATAGAATATATACCGACAACTATGATTGCTAATAATCAAGATATAGATACGACCCTTAATTAGAAATTTAAAAAAAGTTTACAAACAATTGAATTTCCGAAGAAACTCGTCGAAACAGAAAAGGAACGTTAAACTTAATTTTTTCAATTCGCGCGAGCTTCAACTCACGTTATCTTTCCTCCACGAAGGATACGATAAAACACTGTGTTTACAGTTGCGCCGTCGTATTAGCTCTCATAAAAATTGATAGAAAGCACGAGTGAGGAAAGAAAAAAATCGCGAATTGTACGTTGCCTGTCTTTACCACATGGCCCCGTGAATCACGTAAATCTATGGTTTTCATTCTTCAGATGTTGACACGTTCTCTCTTTCTGGTGAACAGTTTGCTCGTTTATCAAGCCTGCTGCCTCCGAACTAACCTGAGGGGGGAAGTTTAGTCCGTTTACTGTATCTTTCCGCGAGATCGATATTACATTCTTTGTATGAAAAAGGATCAGTGAAAGGGGGGAGTAGAAATAGTTTGCAGGCGGACAATTTACCAAGAAATTACGATAGTGTTGCCACACGATACATAGACCAGTTAAGGTTTCAAATTTACGACACGACCGCCTAGCTGATAATAAATTAGTTTTTGAAAGACTATTGCTCGATACCTCTTCTTTATTCGACACACAGGTCTAGAAAGTTGTTTTATGGACATAGAAACTTCGTGTTTTTCGAGTCTGTATCTCGCTGCTCGACGGTGATAACGACATAACTCAAAAAATGTAAATTTGACAAAGGAAAGGCGGTGCAAATTTCCATTTGACTAATTTTGGTTTTCTCTGATTAAATCACATTTTTGACTGTTGCGTCGTGCGCTTCGAACAAGCGGTGTGTTCGAGAGTGGTGGCGCAGGATTGTCGTTGGTGCGGGTTGTTTGCTGGTACGAAGTCGTGGTGACTTAGAGGTTGCACGTATTTTATTATGTTAAAAGAAAAAGACTTTATTTTGAAAAGTGGTAGTTTACGTGGTGTTCGTCTATTTTCCCTTTTTGATCTGATGTGCGCCGCGTTGGTGCGCTTATTTATGAAAAGGTTTAGGGCTATAAGGTGGTGGTCTCCGCCAGTGGGAACGGGTCTACCCCCTTGGACGGTGCTCCCTGGCCTACGAGCATGTCGCCCACCCTGGAATTTCCAAGTTGGCAGGGTGAAGGTATATCGCGATGGCGGGGGAGTGAGGCCCAAGGGGTAGCCCGCGACTTTGGGCGGTCAGGGAGACGCGAGAGGTTTTATGACATGTCAATGTCTATTGAATGTTCACGAGTGGGCACCGGGAAGGTATGTGACCCGCAGAAAACGCTTCCTGGGCTTCGTGGCCAATTTGAAAGAAAAATTAATTAACGCGAAGAAAAAAGGGGCGCATTCAAAAATAGCGTAAACAGGCGTGCATGTCATAAACCCAGTCCCTGACATTGACATTTTCTACGTCAAATTTAATATCTCTCACTTTATTTTGTTCACTTTACATTCTGAAAAGCTAAGTGACTGTCTCCGTGCGTTTCTATTAATTTGTGATCTCGTATACGTGTTAAGACGCAAACTGCCCAATTCGCCAGTTACCGTTCGTCAAGAATAAGCTAAAAATCCTAAGCTGAGGAACAGCCATTCGCTTGCGCGAGTGTCGTAAATCGTCGCCTTTAACGGAGTTAATTCCTTTTTATCAAAGAGCCAAACGCCGTTTCTCTAAACAGCCTTCATCGGCCTCTAATAAATGGCGTTCCAACGGGACCCGTTAAACGACAGTTAAGCGCGTTATCCTAAGAAGCATTAGAAGGCATCTCTACCACGTCTATACGGGGCATGCGCCACCGAGAATCCAGCCTCGCGATTTTCTGCAAAACTGTGCTCGTAGAACTTTATTGACGGTGCACAGGCTCGCGCCGAGTTTATAGCGCCTCGCCCAACCACGACTAACTGCGTTATAAAAGAGGACGGAAGTAACTGGGAAGTTAATCCCCGAACGGTGGAAGATTGGATTGAACTTGGCCTTAAGACTTAATACAATATTATAGAGAGCAGCCGAGCCGTTTTACGGAAGCGGTTTTAAGCTTTGTTGCACGAGGTTTAGCATGATGCACTACAACAAGTGATCAAAGTGTTTAGACGCGGTGAAAATAGCGTGTTCGGCTAGAATGGAAAAGTGTCGGGATACAGTTTTCACGGAAATAACATCAGGATGACGTACTTACTTTACCGTGAAATACAATTTTCTGCTGTTTTAATCTTTCAACGTGCACACCCCTTTCCACGGTATCACAGAAATTCGTGCCCTTTTTTTTCTAATGGAATATTGTCAATATGTTTTTTTAGCAAGGTTATGTTAGGTTTAGAAGCTTTTCTCACAAAGTTGAACGTTGATTTACGAAAAGTCAAACGCAATTTCAATGGTGAAAATGATCTTTGTTAGTTTGAATGACTTTTTTCTGTGCAACTGATGAATTGCCTCTCTGAGAAAGTATGGCGATTTTGAGTCGACAAGGTCTTCAAGATTTTTTTAATAAAGTCCTCGAATTACTTAATTTGTACTCCTAATATTAACGTGCGAAAATTTTGTCAATTTAGAATTACATTTAGAATGATATAAAATTGAGTAACAATTACGTTTAACACGTTCAGAAGAATGTGACCCGTCGTGGACCAAATTATTCTCTAATATTCTATGAAAAAGCACGCATATTTGAGAGCTGAAACGATCAGAAATTTAAAAAAATTAACGACAATAAACACTTCAGTAAAATCCAAACATCCGACCATAAACGAGTGGTTTCCTGAATTTCGCTGCCGTTGAACGTGTTAATATTGCATAATTTAAAAAAAAAGCGTATCGAAAACGACTAAATTGATCGCTCTAAAAAAAACGTCAAATCGCAGGCTAGAATTCCTCAAACTGAAATACTTCGAAACACCATCTTTGTATCCCGGATCCAACAATACAGAGAGCCAATCGCAACGGGGCTGGCACGTTGCAGGGGTTGGAAGCGGAGGGATTTAAAGTATCCACGTAGCAGGCTCGACAGCGGCACTCGAAACGTCAAAATAAAAAGGCGCGAATCTATCGGGATGATTTATTATATTTTTCTGTGGCTCGCCCTAAAAACCATATTTCACGCTGATGCATGTAATGGCGTGTGCAGATGTGTGTGTTTACAGAAGAGTAGGGAGAGTAGAGGGAGAATGTTTCGAAGCAAGGAATTGCTGCTACGCGGAGTAATAAAAATTCAGCAAACACGATTGCAGCTTAAAAACGTGGTAATTAGGATAGAACGATACTCTGTCCGATGGCTGTTTGAAGAAACATAAGTTCGTCGGAACGAGACAGTTTTGTTTCAAATAATTTCCGTAATATTCGATACGCTTTTGTTATTCGACCGAAACAGAGACTCGCTTGTAGCGTCGCCATTTTGCAAAGAAATTAAAGGAAAAAATACTTGTACGTTCTTCAAGAGTAGTGTAATAAAGCCCTTAGAAAATATTTTCGATTGAATCAATTATTTTCCTAAAAAAAAAATATCAATGTTAGGCATCATTTTTAGGCCTCAGAAGCGGTCTAACCGCCTAAAATAATTTCCATAATATTCAATAGAGATTTCTATGCACGCGTAATTAAAGCTCTTGTAATTTTAATACGTTGACAAAAGTGTATCGAATATTGTGGAAATTATTTTGAATAAAAGTGTTTCATTTCAGTGAAGTTATGTTTTTCTCAAAATGAACGGCTTAAAACCGCGGGAACTTTCAGGATGACCTAATACATAAGTACTTTGTGCTTGACATTGATCATCGATACAGATGTCGATCATGTTTCACCTGTAAAAATCGCTCGTTAAAAACACACGAATAGTCGATATGTGCGAGAGAGAGAGAAAAGAGGGAGGTTATTTTCGCCGCGATTGTAAAACGACTTTTACGAGGTATTTTCGTCGGATATTATTCGGGCGGGCGCTTGTTGGATATTAAAAATCACATAACTGCTACGTAGGAAGAAGCGTACGATAAAAGGGAACACGTGTTTAACACTTTTTGGGGCTGTAAACGTGCGTTCGTGCGCGCTGTTGTTCCTTTCAGTAGAGAATTAAACTGTTTTTCGAACGAAAATGTTGCACCCCGTACGTTTTATCGCCGATGATGTTTTCGTGCTGTGAATTGATTCGAACGACCTGCAGTCGTTTCGATATTTTTTAAATATCGAACGTCCGGTGAAATATCTCCGTCGATCCTCGCCACTTATCCGTTTTGCAATGTGTAATTTTGCGACGGTTAATTTTCTAATGTTCGGAAATTACTGGAAAATGCTTGAAGTGTCTCGAAATATTTTTAAGTTCAGATCTTGTGGAAAAATAATGATTTATCAAATTAGAAATCAAGTTTGAACAATTTTATACGTGCGTTTTACATAGATCTTCTATAGATCTGTTAAATTATTATAAAAATAAAACGAATTGTGGCTACTGAGAAATGAATAAATAGGAAGTAACATAATTAGAATAAGCAACATTAGCAAAACTGACTATTTGTTTTCTTCTAAATGTATTTTTTACAAAGCAGGTGTTTTATTTACTTGCTTCAGGTATCGAGACGAGGAGGAATTAGTTTTAACCAAGGACCACTACGAGGGTGGTACCACGGAACAAACGGACCTCTCCGTGAAAAATGCGACACCTAGTGATATGGGCTCTTACAAGTGCATTCTGGAAAATAACGTCGGTGCATCCACTTCAGAAGACGTCGTTGAAGTCTCTGTGTTATGTAAGTGGTTGAAAATTAGTGGAACCTACTTTAGCTAAGGTGTACAACCTATTTGGGAAATAGGACATTAGATACCTTTGTCTAATTTTATTGCCCTTACATTACTCTCGCCTGAACATTTTGCATTCCATGTCCTTGTTAAAGCTTCTTGATGTTAGGGAACACGTTGAAAGCTTTTACTTGATAGTAAGACTTAAAGATTCTTATACATTTTCATATTTTCAAAGCTCCGAATTTTCAAATTTTCAAATCTTCAAAGCTTCGAAATTCCAGATCTTCACATTTTCAAAGCTTCAGAGTTTCAAGTCTTCAAATTTTCTAATTCTCAAATCTTCGAAGCTTCGAAATTTCAAACCTTCAAATCGTCAAATTATCAAATCTTCGAAGCTTCGAAATTCTAAATCTTCAAAACTTCAAATCTTCACATTTTCAAAGCTTCAGAGTTTCAAATCTTCAAAGCTTCGAATTTCCAAATCTCGAAATCGTCTTATTTTTCACCCTTCAAATTTCGTGAATTTTAAACTTAATGAATTTAACAAAGTTTCACAGCGTTTCGGTCATTCCCAAAGTTACAAATGTGTAAACTCGCGAATATTTAAGTACACTCACTAATAACAAAGAAAAGGATGTAACGTCCACAAAAATAAAACACCACGCGGAACTAGAATCGATATGATTCGCGGAAAGAAAAGGTAACCAGAGAAACTGTTCCGTTCCGTTTCGCATTACTGCAATTTATCGCATTTTATTCCGGTAAAGGATATTTATGCGTCCATAAATTCACGCGAGCGTCGCTTTAAAACCAATGCCGGAACATACGTACTGCTTGCTTTTTTCATTACCGAATATAATCCGTCCACCACTCTCTTTATCAAGCTCTTTTTTCTTTTAATCGGTCCATTATCGATCGTCAAATGCAAAGCCGATCGTCAAGATTTTTCAGCGACCGTCGATCCTTTTGATTGAACTATAATAAGAAATCCCACTTTCGACTAAAAAAATGAATGAAACATATTAATCGAAGAATCTTGATATAACATTTCAAATTCTTTCATCTACAAAGATTATCATTTCAATATTTTTTTTCTATTTTACTAATAAAAATCAACCATTTCTTCTAATAATAATCGTTTCTGATTAAACAAATCCCACGTAAAAATAATCATTTTAACGATAGCATTACTCCAGAAATTCAAATTTTAATATTAATTT